AGGGTCCTGGTGGTGGTAGATGGAGGGGATGTCCTGGTGGTGGTGGGGAGGATGGAGGGGAAGACCATCGTTGGTGGTGGGAGGTGGACGTGTTGGATCCAGGGGGGGAGGATGGAGGGGAAGGGACCATCCTGGTGGTGGTGGGAGGATGGAGGGGATGGGACCATCTAGGTGGTGGTGGGGAGGATGGAGGGGATGGGAACATCCTGGTGGTGGTGGGAGGATGGAGGGAAGGCACCATCCTGGTGGTGGTGTGGAAGGTACCATCCTGGTGGGGAGGATGGAGGTTATTGGGCGCATCAGCATCTGCGAACTCAGACATGTGTTGTGTAAGTACCAATCTTTTATACTGCAAGTATTAGCACATGATTGGTTAGATGTGAAGGCAATAAGGGATGCAACGATTGGGTCTTCCTGACAGAACTTACGCTAATGCTTTCATTTATGACTGAGTTTACTGATTGTAGTGGTCAAGTTTAGTAGTTACTGGGTCGTCAAGGGATCAGCCATGTGTACACGTGTGCTCAGGGCATGTTTGCTCATGTGTTTGTGGGTACTGAATTCTCTGGCCTGGGTAACAGTCATTACTCTCTTTGTTTAATAAGCTGCTCTTTACTCATCCAGTGTCTCAGTCTTTTTTGAAAAAAGGGAAGAATCTAATAGCACAAAGACAAGGAACTTTGAAAGTATTGATGTTTTTTCTTATTTCATTGTGGATTATGGAGTTGTTGTTTTTTTTGCCCTTATTATGACATGATAGTGTAGAGTGATCAGGAAACGAGGTTGGAGAGAGTACGGAATCGGGAAAGCTCCACAAGCCACAATCGAGAGACGGCACGCTGTCCACTAGGCTATTGGTGCCGACAGATTATGGAGACTTTTGACCAAAAAGTATATTTAGAGACAATTTCTCTTTTACTTTGCACAAGATTTACTTTACACATACCTTTTTAGAAAGCTGTCTTTGGCACACCCTTGTTATATTAAATGACTTTTAGTGTACACTGCAGGAGACACTGCCTAGACTAGCTTGGGGTCAAAGGGAAGGGAGATCTGTGCCTGATAAGAAAGTGCTATTTCTCTCGACTAGAAAGTGTCATAAAGGGACACACTGTCTGGTCATCCAGGTTAACTGATTTACTGACAGGAATTAATGATGCTGGTCATTTTGTGCCAATAAAATCTCTCCGTCGAGGCACGTTTAATGGATTTAGAGAGACCCTTTTATTTGTTTTTTCTTGAGTCTGGCTCTATCTCTATTTTAGATAGCGGTTTATTGTTGATGTTTACACAGCTTCTCTCTAATTGTTGAAATGAGAGTGTGTACCACACCGCAAAAGTCGACTCATTTAATGGAAACATTCTGTATACACAAGCATGAAGAACCCTGGCCACAGTCTTTTTAAATTTTGACAGCTGTAGATTAAATTCTCATTATCATTCCTCTGTCCTTCTCCATGACTTGCCTACTGTGTGCTACATTACCCACTATGCTCTAATGTGACTTCTCTCTAATGGAGCCCAGAAACAAGTTTCTTGCTTTCTCACAAGCCATCAATCACTCTATTTTGTGCTCTTTTCTCAGCAGGGTTGTGCGGTGAGAGACCTTGGTGGCAAAATCACTGTTGCAGTGTTTTTTTCTGTTTTTATTTTTGTTTTTTACTGCAAAACATCTGTTGTCTTCACTACACCCGTAATCCAGTTGAACCACATGCTAAATTCAAGGAAATAGAGCTGTACAGTACATTGAGAATTTAGTCATTTTAATTATTTTCAGTCCAAACACACTCACAGAACGAGTCTTATTTTAAATCGTCAATACAATTTGTCTTGTGCAATTAATGTTGCATTATTACTGCTGGCAGAAAGCTGGCTGGTAAGACATTTGTTTAAAATAGAGGTTTGCATTTTCTATTCATAACAGCAGCTATTGGTTTGTGGCATTATCGGATTTGCATAATTCCTTTAGTGAATCAGGCACCGAAACAATGTCGACAGCATGTGCGAAAAATTCAGATGTGGGACGGTACATAAAATGACACCTTATTTAAACATTTAACTTTCCATCCTCTCTTATGCAAAGTATCCTGAGAACTGCTATTTTCTGCCGGTTATATTATGCCCTTGAGTGTCCATTTGACAATCTAATCAGCATCAGTTTCCTTTCCGGCCAGAACCACCTTAGCCGTTAAAAGGAGCTCATCTCAGTTGGCTTTGAACAGGGTTGCCACCAGCCACCAGCAATTTTCTTTTTCAATCTCTCTATTCAGGCATCTAACAGGCTCCAGTAATCACCCTCATGTTCATTTAGCTTTGATAACTATAAAGGGTATGTCGTGAAAAATGAGTCTGATAAAGATGCCAGCCATGTGTGAATCTTTCTGGAATCCTATAGAACAGTGGTACTCAACCGGTGGGCCGTGGCCCACTGGGGGTTCTCAGTGCTCCTCCAGGGGGTCCGCGAGATAACAAAAAATATTTTAAATATATTAATATAATTCATGAATTTCTTATTTAGCCCCGTTGCCCCCGGTACAAGGGCCGTCCGTTTTTAACAGGTTAATACGTTAAATTAAAAATTAACAAAGCACTACCTCTCTTGTACGTATTCTGTGATTGTTTCGGAGCAGCCCACACCGTTTCTCAAAACACCCAAATGAACGTAGGATATGCAAACTACATCTCTCAGTCAGAAAAAGAAAACCAGCATAGCTTATAAAGTTATGATGGACAACGTTTGTAATACAGGAGTTGTACATAAGGCATGTGCGAGTCTGTTATTATTGATGCGCAAACAAACTGTGTATGTGCCCTCTTGGCTCTCTTGGCAGTAAAAATAGTCTAACGTTCGGTGTAAAAATGCGTACCGAAAACTGAACTGAAAGCCTCCTACCGAACGGTTCAATATGAGTATGTGTATCGTTACACCCTGAATATATATATATATATATATATATATATATAGGGCCATTTTGAAATCGAAAGCGAGGCTCCAGTGGGAAGAACCCCAGAAGTACACTTTTTCTAGTGTTTTGTAAATATTTGCTATTGTAATGAATATACTTTGAAAAATGTATTGTCCATTAAAAAAATGGGATCTGAAACAGCAATGGACTCCATTGGCTATCATTGTATGGACAAATGAAATCAATAGTTGGTTGTATTTCACAGAAGAAAGAAAGTCATACAGGTTTGGAACAACATGTGTGAGTAAATAATGACAAGTAAATTGAGAGTAATGACAAAAAATATTCTCCATTAAGGTTTTAACCTTATACATTTTAGACATTTCTTACCTGCATTTTGACTATAGAAAATGTTTTCCGTGATTTTACAGTACATCAGTCTAAATGTTGCAATGTTTTTCTAAACTATATTATCTTGGGATCAACAAACAAATCTTCCAGAATAACCGGATTTCCTCTGTTATCGGTTCTTACTTTAATTGATTAGATAAGAAGTGGGTGTCTCAGTCATTTTTGTGAGTAATAAAACCACACCGGTGCCTAATTAGTAATGTGTATTAGTGTATTAATGAATTAGAGATTAAGCTTCAGTCAGACGACCAGAGCGCTAATTAATGCTGCTCATTTGCATAATAATAAGCACACATGACATTAGAGATGTGTGAGGGTAAGCATAAAAAGAGCTGATAGAAGTGAGATTTGAATGAAAGTGTGTAACTTTCCTCTTTATTTGTCAGAGAGGTAGATGGCCATTTGGCACAGACTATCTTTCCAGACCTAGTGAGTCCTGTCTGTGATGCTATCAACCAATAAACGGAAGGGTTCCTTTCACGTGGCATGCTCTGAATTCAAATTTTCGTTTACTCTTGGATGGCACTTGGTCAGTGTGTGTCTCTTTCTTATCTTTCTTACTCTTCTGAATCTGATATACATCCACTTGTACGTATACACATTTTCTATGTGTCTTTATTTTGGGTGGGCTGGTTATAGATTTAATCATTGATTACAGGACATCTAAACAATTAACAGTCACATTTAAAGTGCAGCATACATTGACGAGGATTGGTTAATATTGTTAGGAGAGGAGATTTTGTTTACGTTTTTTTTTTCAAGAGATGCTCTTGGGCTACAGTATCTTCCTTGGCATATATCTGGGCTGTTTGTGAGAGTGACATTCCAGTCATAATTTCCTCTGCAGGGATCCCATTCTCAATAAGGAAAGATTGTCTTCATGCAGAGACAACTTAACAAAGTAATATAAAATAACAGATAATTTAATTTCAAGTTCAAATTCATAGATATTTAAACTATTCCAGTGACATACTTTCTCTGTCAGTCCAAGCATAAAAGATTGAAAAACGCTGTTGAAAGTGGATCGGACCGAGCACCATAACAAACTTGTAGCCAATCAGTAGGTGGGGGCGTGTCCACTCATGATGCGAGAGGAGAGAGTTAAGAAAGAGAGATGGCTGAGAGACATTACAAAAGAGAATTTGTTTCTGCTCCACACTGTTAAAAAAATCTCCGTTAAAAAACGGAAAAAGTGCTGGTAATTAATTACCAGCACTTTTTCCGTTTTTGTACGGGCACTTCCGTAAACCTTAGAACGGAAATTTCCGTAGATTTACATGAGTTTTTCTGTACCATTGACGGACATTTCCGTCAAACCTAAAATGGAAAATTCCGTATTTTCTGTACTATTCACGGATAATCCTTATACAGAAATTTCTATTTTTATAGCATATATTTTGGTAGCAAATAATTCAAGAACAATATATACATATTGAACATGTTTTATTTTTCTGTAAAAATTTCATGTAAACATTCTTAAAACGCATTCAATGGGTAAAAATTGATATACACAGACAGACACACACAATTTAACAATGTGCAAAGCACCATAAAAAAGTGCTTGTTTTGTGGAAAAAGTTAAGACATTAAACAAACATGGGAGAAATGAAAAAAAAAAAAAGAAAACGAGCAGGTACTTGCACAATATTGGTGTTGTACCAAATAGCTCACAAAATTATTTTTAAAAAATGGAAAAAAAAAAACCTTCATAAACTGTGAAAGTCAAGATTCAAAACATTTTCAAATGCAATACTAATAGAATACGATACAATACAGAAACAAACAAAATGCAATGAAGATAAGGCTTCTGCTTTTAAAAATTGCTTTAGACTTCTAGTCAATAGAGTGAAATGTTTGGACACATGCAGAATGGATGCAAATTGAATACCACACAAGTCCTCTGGAGGAAACGTCCAACCCAGTGTAGAATCCAGCGCATTGCACCCAAAAAAAGGATGGATTAAGCAAATCGAAGAAGATCTGAAGATCCAGCGGCTTGACCCACAGCAAGGCACGATTAGTCGCCACAGTTCGAAAAGCATAGAGACAAGTGATCGAATGAGTTCGAAATCCTGCGGCACCCACAGCAGCATACTGGATGCGAGGTCGTCCTCCCCAAGATGCCAGCTAGGGATTAAAGAAGAGTGAAATGTTAGTGTTGATGCCATTTTTCTGTAAGAGAACACAATATTACATAAAGCATAAGCTCACCCCAAAATTTTAATTTGTAATTACTCACACGCACGTTGTTCCACACGTCCTCACAAGAGTTACATTCATCTTTAGAACAAAAATGAAGATCTTTTTGAGGAACTCTGAGAGATTTCTGTCCTTCCATTGACAGCTGAGGCAACTACCACTTTCAAGTTTCAGAAAGGTATAGACACAAATGTAATCCATGTGACTCCAGTGGTTTAACCCCAAATTTATAAAGTGGCACAAATGTTTTGTTGCTAGAATCTTATCGCATCACATTTGGATAGGACTCTAACACTGTGTTACTTTTATTATGATCTTACTATCTTTCTGAAGCTTGAAGTGGTAGGTGTAAGCAGAGGGAGAGCTGTCAACAGAGGGAGAGAACGCTCTCAGATTTCATTAAAGGGATAGTTCACTTTGAAATTAATTTTTTATATCTTTTATCTTACTTCTAGGGCATCCAAGATGTAGGTGCCTTTGTTTCCACAGTATTTTCAATTTTGATATTTTTAGGTCAAACCGTTCTTGTCTGTAAGTCATATAATGCAGGTTTATGGGGTTCACCCTGAAAAAGTGAAACTGAAAAAGCATGCACAGAGAAGTCCAAATTAAACATGATTCAATGACTCCTAAATGCAAGTACACATAGATGGCCTAAGACACGAAACAAGCAGTTTGTGTGAGAAAACGAACAGTATTTATATTGTTTTTACCTCTTGTAATCACAGCCACGTCCAAGTGATCTGAAGGCACAGGGCGCTTCGGTCTGCGCAAGTGCGCCGGAAGTGATCCTTCAGATCACTTGGACGTGGCTGTGATTACAAGAGGTAAAAACAATTTAAATACTGTTCGTTTTCTCACACAAACCGCTCGTTTTGTGTTTTAGGCCATCAATGTGTACTTGCATTCACGAGTCATTAAATCATGTTTAATTTGGACGTCTCTGTGCATGCTCTTTAGGGGGACCCAGGGTGAACCCCATAAACCTCCATTATATGACTGACAGACAAGAACGGTTTGACCTAAAAATATCAAACTTGAAAATACTGTGGAAACAAAGACACCTACATTTTGGATGTCCTTGAGGTATAAAAGATTTCAAAAATGTATTTCAAAGTGAACTATCCCTTTAAGATCTTAACAACTTGCATGAAAAACGTTCATTTTTCGGTATGTTCAGTTAAAGTTCCATTTTGAGATTTGACAAAAGCTTGAAACTTTACCTGGTTTTTCGAAGTTGTTCATACAGGAACTTCAGCAGTTTTGGAGGAATGGGGACGTTTCCTTCATCTCAGCCTTTTCAACCTTCGTTCAGGATTTCTACACAGGAAAGTTGGAAATGAAAAAAAAAAAAAAGGATATATTTTTAGCTACACAAGAAATTAAATGAAGGAAAATTAACTACAAAGTATCATGTAGACCAGGTTGAGGTTGACAAACAAATGTACAGTATTTTACATTCACTAAATTATCAACTATAAAAAAATTATCAGCCATTCCTAATTCTCTCAAATTCAAACACTGTTTAAAAAATGCTAAGACTTTTTTCCAGTGGACTCCAATTGCATGTCATGTCAGCTTGTCTGCATGCTCAACTATAGGCTACATTCTAATATGTTTCATTATTTTCAACTAAATAAACAGAATCACAATAACATGTTCTATAAATAATTTGATTAAAAATGTGTTGCTTACCTTTATATGAAATCCAGGATAAGTGCCATATTCTTCAGGTATTTTGCATCTTACTGCCTCAATAGGGTAGGAGATGTGGTCAATAACTTCTTGAATGACAGCAACCCTGAATGTCCACCACCTGAAACAGAAAAAGATATTACTAAATGAAAAACATAACACGATCACTTCAAAAAAACGCTTTAAACATAGTTGTTTAAATCTTCCCTATACAATTTGTATTTCTACCGACCATGTAAACATAAATATCTTTGAAGGGGGTATTCAGCAACCAACTTTTTCTATAAACAGACTTTATTCTTCAGACTTTAAATTCAAATGCGTTTTGCCAGTATTGAACATTCATAATAATGCTAATAAAACAAAATACAAACCCATAAGAAGCATGCAGGTGGTGCTTGGGATGTAAACTACAGCAGAAAAGTCCTGTTAATAGATAAGAAAACAACAGAAACATTATGAAATGAACAAATGAGAAGGGAAAGAATGACTAACATTACAGGCAGAAGTTTAGATAATAGCAGTCATGCTAAATGTAAATTAATCTTTCATTATTTGGGGTTTAAAGTCGTGTGTGTCATCTAAAACAAAAACATGAAGTCTTACGTAAACATAACGTTAACTTACCTCATTTTGCAGAAAAGGTGCTGGTGTTTTCCTTGATCCAGCTGTAGCGGTCAAGTTACTGCATATTCACAAACAGTCTCTTCACGTTGTGTCTTCATGCCTTTCAAATCAAGCAAGTCTTAATGGCGTTTACTTTTCTTGACGATTCCTCTGGTTGCTTTTGCTTGAAGGCATTAAATTGCTCTAAAAACACTAGCTAACGTTAGAACTATCACAACTAGTTAACGGATTCGCTCGGCAAGAAATAAACCGCATCACGACAAATAAAAGTAAATAAGCCCATTACAACAAGGACACTACAATCGAGAACCTCCACGAGTCTTAACTAACTCTTTCAATGTGTGACGATATGCATAAAATGATAAACGTGACGGCTCCGACATTCATTTGCCTACCAGTTAATGCCAGATGGTAACTAAAAATAACGTTACGTTAACAGCTTATCAAGCAAAACATAATTTTCGTTTTTAAGTTTAAGTTTTACCACATAAGTGTCAGAATGGCTTCCACACACCCGAAATCCGGCTCTAAAAAGCAACTTTGCCCGCGGTCATCTGCGTGTGTAATGGCGGATGCGTCTTAAACTTTTCGCGCTGCCGGGATCTTGTTCCCACAATGCAACGCGAAATTTAAAATAAGGGTAAACGATCCGTAAAAGACAAATACGGAAAAAATCCTTCACATTTATATGGTACATTGTACCGTATTTTTACGGAAATTTTTTACAGTGCATATGCGAGTAACATGAGCTCTTGCCTTGTACATACTCTTGTGTACTATTTGTCCTTTTTTTTGGCTTCCTTGTCATTTTTTCGTCATCTTCGCTTTATTTTTTTGTGAAGCATTATTTTGCTTCGCTTCTGCTATGATGAAAGAGACACACTTATATTGCATTGTCTGTTTTTGTTTTGGTTGATTTCAAATATCAACAGTGTTCAACAATGATTTTAAGAAATTGCATACTGCACCTTTAAGTTTTGATGCTTGTTAGATGCAGATGCTTGCTGATCTGGCATCTCAGTGCACCATGTTGCACTGCGAAATCAAACACCTTCCTAATGTGTGGTTTTAGCACTTCTGTTGCTCTATTTAGGCTCTAATTCTAAAAGCTTCAGAATTTGGTCTGTTGGTGTGTCTATTAGAATGTGTTTTGTATTTTGCAATAGCACAGTAATGTAGGATCTGCATGACCTTCTTCACCTATCCTTGTTTTCCTCCTGACACAAGTATTTTATTAATGCTAGCTGTAGTGATAATGTTGTGATTATCAATAAAGACACCATGTTAAAAGCAATGCAAAATTCCACAATTAATTTTATGTTTTCCGATGCATTGAGTAAGTTGATAACTGGATTTGGTTTTTTTTATAAATCATTTAGACCAGTTTTGTGAACCAAATGAACTTGAACAGATCAAATTCAAGGAGAGCTATAGTGCCTAAATGGCGTAAAGCCTTGAGTAGGCTATAATTTGAGGACAAGATTGTCAAGACAGCCATTAGATACACAGCAAGACTTAAAACACATGCAATATTTTTCCACTTTAAAGTCATATTATAATCAATACTGCCATCTCACAGTTGCCCTTTCAAAGTAGTCAACCATTTTTGTGTGTGAAGTGGATTTCAAATCCCAGACCATTAGAGCGACAAAAACACTAGTAACTATCTGAGTTTGTGAGAGGCAGATCATTCAGATTTTGAGATGAGCTTGTTGTCTCTGTGTTTAAATTCAAATGTTTACGTAAATAGCATCGCAAGATGGACAAAAGCAGAAAGCTATTGTGGAAAGTGGAAAGCTAATTTACAGAACAGATTTGCTAGAGCTCTTCACACTGAACTAATATTCATTGGCTGCAAATGCACATGGTAGATCATGGTATTGTTTAGAAATAGTGGCAAGCTATTTACTTTCAAGTATTCTGTTGCAGAAACCTTTTGACGTGATGTGATTTCTGACGGTGTTTCATTGTTAGACCGTCTGTTCTAATATCCCTCTTTTTTGTCTCATTCTGTCACTCTCCTCTCTTGCACATGGTCATGTGGGTGATTGACGGGTAAGGAAAGCTGAATCTTTTGCGACAGTTTGTGTTGTGCTATCTTTTGTCTTAGCTGATAATAGTCATTGTTCCTTCACAACACAATTTGCAATATTGTGAAAGTCAATGACAGTGTCTATGTCTGGGACCCCTAGGGGTTGTGTGGCAGTATTGCGGGAGATCATTTTAAAGCAGCACTATGCAGTTTTTTTTTTTTTTTTTTACCTTAATTGAATAACTTCGGAGTTATTGCAATGGTTATATGACTATTTATGACTCCACAGTAACTCTAGGGGTCACAGTTTGACAAAAACGGAAATCCTGCATAGTGCTGCTTTAATGTATTTGAAAGATGTCACTTATGTACACCAAGTATGCATTTATTTGTTTAAAAAAGTAGTATTGTGTTCTGGACAGCTGACTAATTTAATGTTTGAATTTCCTCACACTCCATTCAGCAAATTAATCACCTAAATGTAATTCACATCATTTGCTTGTATAGTTAATGTTTTCCATTATTCTCATGCCACGACAGATATTTCAAACATTGGTTGTATTATTTAATTGACAATTACTAATAACTACTCATGATCTCTGGTTCTACAGCTTACCTTCTTCTGTCATCATGTATGTCTCTGTCTCTCTTTAATCTGTTGTCTTTCTTCTAATGAATCAGCCTGTCTTTTTAAACCCCTGGTATCCTGACTGCACCTGAGACATTCAGCCATATGCCGTGGAATCATTGATATGCACACCGGCTTCTCCCCAAAACGCACACACACATACTGTATACACACACACACAAACAAACAAAAGCGCCATAATTAAGGCAGCATTTAAAACGAGCATTCCTGCCGTGATTGAGCACTAGAGTGATTGATCATGAAAATACCACACACACTAACAGTGTAATATTAATTTGGTTATATAGAGAGCTATGTCAAACCTATTTCCCCCACTCAGTGCTGCGTATATGTGAGTGTGTGTACATCTGTGGCTAAATACCAGACTCATTAGGCCCACTATTGAATGCCACTTGCTGTGTTTTTTCCTCCTTCCTGATTGGATTTTCAGTGCTCAGAGGCTGTTGCTCATGGTGATGAGGAGGTTGAATAAATTAATCTCGCATGAAAACACACACATACTGTATATGCAGACACGGCTTCTCCACACAGGTATTTGAATATTTTAGAAGCATTTAGCCAATTACAATGATAGCTATTAGTGTACTGAGATGAGAGTCCATGTTTGCCCAAACCTCGCATTTTAGGCGCCATTCTGGTTAAATGCTAGTTCTAATTAATGTCTGTGATTTAAGGCCAAAGACCCACAGGATTTATCTTCATTAGGCAAAGAAGAGTCGTATTTACCGTAGACACAGCTGTGAGAATTTGCCGGACGTTTCATTATTCTCCTGGTGGGTTCAACAGCAGCTGTTTTCTGTGGCTCATGTTGCCTTTGTTTACAGTTTTCTATATAAGCAAAAAGGATGATCTGATTTAAATGTGAAGGTTTAGAACTCATGAAACACAAGGGATGTTGTTGTTGTATGTGTGTTCTTATAAGTTTACAGCGTGTGTGTCCCTGGTGCTCTTACTAATCAGATTTTGTTCTGTTGAGTAATTGAATTACTGATCATCTCTGGTTTTATATGTTAGTCTGCAGTGTTCATCTTCATGTGATCTATTGAAATTCTTATCTTATGTGTATTTTGTTGGGCTGTTAATTATATATATATATATATATATATATATATACTCTAACTCTGATATCAAGTCTAGTCTGAAAGAAAAAAGCAAATTATTTCACGATAAAAATCATGAAGCTCATGAAATCAGATGGTACACTTCTCTCTGGATTTTTTTTTTTGTCCTCTAGACCTTGCAGTTGTTTCCCAGAATTCCAGCCTGTCTGCAATCAGTTTCTCTCAGTCAGCATCCACCAGAGGCATTTCACTTGATTAGAACACTAAAAAGCCTTCAGCGCTGCTTACTGCAGGTCTTTTGAAAGCCTTTACTGTATTCAGTTCTGATACAGCTGACATACTGACATTAGAAGTAGCGACCACACAGATGTGCATTCACTTAATGTTTTTAGTTTAGTTTTCTCCTAGGCCCCGTTTACACGATGGGAAAACGCAGATATTTCTCTGCGTTTTGCCCTCTCGTTTACACGAAAACCCCATTTTTATCATAGAAAACTATTATTTCTAAAAACTCCGGCCAAAGTGGAGATTTCTGACAACGCCGGTTATGTGTTGTCATGTGAACTGGGAGAAACGGCATTTTAGGTTATCTCTTGTCAATTCTGAGGATTCTGATTGGCTTGCATGGCTTTATCCTTAACCCCTACACTGCCGCCAATAGGTTTGGCATAGTAATGGCGCTCGACGGTGTATTTATGCGGGTTTGTGAACGATGTTATTTTTGAAAATGGAGAGGGGGAAAATATTCGTTTTGCTAAATACCCGGCTTTGTGTAAATGTGGCCCTAGCCTGGATGCCAGCCCGAACCCCGCCCACAAAATTTTATGGTCGGGAAGTTCGGTCTGGAATCGATCCATTGAGGAGTCCATTGAGCACTTTATACGATGATGGAGTTCTTTATACGATCATCTGCAGTTACGTAATCATCACGTCATGGCTTCATTTGTTGGCTTTATTGTCGAGATCTAATCCTAAACGGATAACTTGTATATACGTATATACATTCACATTTTCTATTTAGTTCAAAAATGTCAAACTGCAAACTCGGAATGTTCAAATTTTGAGTTTGCAAGTACTCTGTGAATACTTAAATTCAGTTCAAAATTGCAGTTTAGTTCTGTTGACAACTCGCTCAACAAATGTCACTTACTGCGTTGCTCTGATTGGTGGTAGGTCTCCGATTAAGTGCAGAGTTGTTGTTGTTTTTTTCTGTGAGTCTGCATATATTTATGAGTATGCATGAATATACATACATTTTTGCATATATTTTCATTAGATAGATCTAAACATATGTTTAAGCCAGGTGAAAAATTTATTTTTTTCATTTTGTTTACATACAGGATAAAAAAATACAGAGGGATTTCAGGAGGGACTCATTAGGACAGTTTGATATGATATCACCCAGAGCAAAAGGAAGCATCTTTTTTTCAGGGAGGAAGTAAACAGGCCTGCCTGGATTATTGTCCTTTCATCTAACAGATGCCTCTGCTGTTCAAATCTGTTTTACTATTTCCTTCTTTCACTAGTTTTGTCACTAAACAGACACAAGTTTAAAAACATATTTGTGTTTGACTGAATAAACACAGCACCAGTATTGAATTTTAGTTGTAGTTTTTGTCAGTGAAACATGTCATTATGGGATTTGTCTCATTGGACTGTAGTGACCTTGCTAGAATATTCCCCCTTTCAGGTTATTAATGCTCTTTTAGGTGAGATAATACTAGGGCAACAGCGTGAGCAGAAGAGGCAGAGAAAGGATGTTTATTTCCCCGGCAAGACTGTGACCTTGGGCTCAGGTGGGGATGTTGAGTTTGGCTCTCGTCGCTAAGTAGTGGAAGGTGAGAGAGAACGAGAAAGAGAGAGGTGATGAAAGCAA